CTGAAGACAAGTGATCCGAGATGTTCTGGCGCCTTTTGGCGCCGGCGCTTCTGGCGCGAGCGCCAGGCGTTCTAGCGGTAAACGAATGTGATATTCGTGTTCTACGGGTCGAATTACCCCTGAAGGCAAGTTTCTAGCCAAATCCACAGTCATGGACAATTTCGATAAAAACCCGGCTCAGTTCTCGAGGAGTGGGGCAGTAAAGGGTAAATAGTGCCCAATTTTTTTTCTTTGGTGGTCAAAATATTTCCTGATGAGGGCAGTTTATTTTGCCAACCATTTTGGGTTTCTAATGTGAAGAGAGAATCACCCATCGTTACACTACTCCTTTGTGCTAACGAGTATTCATCATTTCATTAAGTGGGTAGAAGTACGATTGCGTGACTACGGCCACGCTCTTGAGACCAGTTATTGTTGGAGTCGTTGTTTTCATTTAGCAGGCGAAGTCGCCCTTCACGAGGGGCGACAAACATCGGAAGAATTCCCATCGAGTGAAAGTCCCACGCAATAAATGGAGCTTTCTTTTTTTCGGCAGCAATCAAGGCAAAAAAGCCGGGGTCAAATGGTAATTTTGCCACTGATAATTACCAAAATAGTTGACGATTTGAATGACTTTGTAGAGTACCCGACAAAAAGCCCGTCGCTTGGCGAGAAGGCAGGAACGCAGACGTTAATGTGTGACGGAGAGTGTTAACCGAGTCGCAGCGCTTGCTGTGTGATGTGGGACGTACTATAGCACATTCTGTCTAACTTGACACGAAATCACTGCAGTACGCGCTGCGACTCGTCCGCTGAATCGTCTGCGTCTCTGCCTTCTCGCCGCGCGACAGGCCTCCTGTCGAATACCCGGATTGTTAGGAAATGCATGCAATGCCAACAAACCACTAGCGATTCCCAACAAGGAGGGGGTGGGGGTTTTATTTGGCAAGATGTTCGAAGAGATATTAAAGGTTATATCTTCTATCCTGCTCTGTTTTGTGTGGTAATCGCAATTCAATAGGTAAAATTTTGTTCGATTAAATTGTGTCATTTAAGGGTGGGAAGAACGAGAGGATGGCAATGGCCGTACGTTTTACGTTAACCATCTGCAACGCACGACGCATTGGGACCGTCCCACGCAGATGAATGGAGTGTAAGTTCCCATTATCACCCTTTGCAAACACATTTCTCGGCGCATCCGCATTATACAAGGGCGCATCTTCGAGAACGTGAGCGCTGGTGAGAGGCAGAACTCCTCGCGTTGGCAAGCAAAATTGCTCCGCGCTCCTTAGTTTTTGCTCTGCGCCTGGAAGGCTTGTCGAACAGGTTTTTGAAAACCTGAGGAATTTTCATCGGTTTTTGAATGTTTTGCCTCTATAGTGCCCCGTATCTTGCGAAAGCTGCCGTTCTCTATTCAATCATAAACGGAAATTCATAAACGCTCTTCTTTGACATGATTTCTAAAAATTTTCAAGTCTAGTATTTTTTTTTTTTGTTAAGCGGCTGGACAGGTCGCAATTGCAAACTCACTCGATAGTACACGTGGCAGTGGCCGCAAAAATCGATCTCACGTGTGATTTTTTAGGGAGACAGTCAAGAGTCCCCCGCGACCGCCGCGCCGAAACTGGGTCACCGCGCGCGACGTCGCCGGCGTTTTTGCCATTTGAAAAATGGCAATTTGCGAAGTTCAGGACCCGTCTCTCCAGACGATCGACACAACGCTTTCCTGGTCCGTCTGTGTAGGCCATCCATTCCTGCATTTGTTTTTAGCTTAGTCCTGACAGCTTGATACGTTTCAAGCTGCAAGGACCTGGATACGGTAGATGGCCGCCGCGTGCGGTGACCTACTTTCGCTTGCGCGGCGACCTCAGAGGGGACTCTGTCTCGCGTCCGAATTTTTTGTGTCATTGAAGTTGTCTGATGTCAGGTGGTTGGAAACTTAGAAACAATGGCACTTCCTGTTGCGGGAAACAAAAACTCGTCCAAATCGATATTCAAAATAGTGAAATTCGAAAATGAATTCATTATTTGTAGTCCTGAATAGCTGTTTTTCTCCAGCACCAAATCCCAACTTCAAAAGAATGAAACTGGAAGGGAAATAAGAATAATGTCGAAAGAGTATGTCTTACTATGAAGGTTTCTGCAGTACGTATGTAGTTCGGGAGCAGTCCCTTTAAAATAATAAGAAATAATGAGCAAATATTTATAGAGCAAAATTGAGATCGTTTAGAGAACGAGAACGAACTGAAGACGAAGTGCGACGGCGACGTGACGATTATGAGCGACGGCGTCAAGTCACGAATTCCAGCCCAGATGCGGTACGAAGTCAACTCGACGCGGTACGTGCCCTTCCTTGTTTGTAAAATATCCTACGAAGTTTTCACTTGATGCTCGTATCGCAGTTATACCCTGTTTCCGAAAATCAGATGCTCGTCGAGTGCAGACCACACAACACAAGTGACGACGGCCTCCACAAAATGTAAATGTTTTCTGCCAATGAAATGATTAGCCTGTTGCAGTTGTATTCTATCAGTTGTCACTAATTACAACTATCATTTACCAACTATCAGCTATCACTATGAACCACTACTAACCAGATTTACTTGGAGGCCGTCGTCACTTGTGGTGTGTGGTCTGCACTCGACGTGCTTCTAGTTTTCGAAGGAGAGGGTACTTCCTCTTCATTCTGGTATGTACTGATTGCAGATAGACAGTGCGATGCGCTCTAACTTCGCCGGTGGAACGCAGGCAAATGGAGAAGCCGAAGATGAGCCTTTACCCGAAGGTTGGGATATGCAAGTAAGTGAATGCTGATGATCGCACGTCGGTCATCGCGTACCAAGTGAATAATTGTTTAAAAATTTCTATAAATAATGAGCAAATAGATTCGAGCATGCCCTTTTGATTGACTTTAGCGATTATCTTACTTGATAAGTGGAATTGGAGCATATTCAGGCGATGGCCACAGATCTGTTGAGCGCATGTGGCAGTCTTTCAATGTCGGCTATTTCAAACAATCATAGCCTCCCATATGGAAATGGGTTCAACCCCACACCCACAAACATCGGCGCGCTAAAGTGAAAGTTGAGAAAAAGGCGGAAATTATCTGATGCTTTAATCGAAGACAGTTCCACGAGTAGAACTCGACTAGCGCATTTTGCTGATGCATGTGATGGGTGGACCCGTAGCGGCCCAACAGAACCTTGCCCGCCCAATGCCAGGACCTTGGATCCTGTTCGCGGTCTAGTCCCAACGACTGGCTAGCTACTACTGATTCCTTCTCCCTCGGGCTCTAATCGTTTTAGCAGAGAGGTTTGCTTTGATGACGCCCACCCTCGGGGCCATCAATTTACCGTAACCTCTGCCTTTAACAGCATTATCTAAGGGCTAGCTAATCAGGAAGGCTTGCTAATCCTATTCAGTCTGGGCGGAGACCTAGGTAAATTGATAGAGCTAAGAGCCTGGTTTCAAATATGTGGTCCAAAACTGCTGATAGATTTTCCGAGCAAGTTGTGAGCGGTCAGTTGGCAGAAAATGCAGCTTCAATGAGTGAGGCGATCTATTCTATCCGCTATATATCCTCTATCCGTTTATCCTCTACTCCATGCATCTATTTTTTTTGTGGAACTTTCCTTTATGTGGTGGTGACAAATAGTATGGTATTTGACAATGATGAACCACCAGTCGCCGTCAGGTGTCAGTTTAGCGCCGGGACTTACGTTTTTTTGGTGCTTTTCGGCAACTCACATCCGGCTAGGAATGTTCATGGTTTCCACGTTTATGATATTATCAGATGGAGTTTCTGTATATACTGTTTATACAACAGCGCCCGCCCAATATTGTGATTCCCAACCTCCTCGAAACCTTCTAAATGCGAAAATCGATACTCTCGCAGATTTTGGGCAAGAACACTACCGTGCTTCACTTCGAGCCAAGCCCTGCCCTCAACTGCACACGCCCTCAGAGCAATTTCCCACCTATTCGGGGTACTATGTCAAATATTGCTGTGGCCGATCGAGCCATAGAGCGCTGGACAAACAAACCACCAAACTACTGCTTCATATATAGAGGGGATTGCTGCCTCCACATTTGAATTTACCTAGGTCTCCATCGGAGTCCCGTGGAAGGAGAAAGCCTTCCCTGGTAAGTAGAATAATCCTTTTCGTATGCGAACCCATATG